AACCGAAAATATGAAAATACATCATCTAAGAATGAAGATGAACATGAAGAATGTTTGAATCCTTAATTTCATCAAGCATATAGTTGGTTTCAGCGTCGCTCCAAAAGTGTTTTGCTGTCATCTCATGATAGCACTGCTTGATGATTTACGGTACCATGGTCTGTTTTCGCACATGTGCAGACTGAGGAATCCAAAAGAAATCAGAGTAAGAGTTTACATGTACTGAGAAATCTGATTATTGAGCTAAAATCCAGCTCTCTTTATCGAATTTCTTAATCGGATTTCTAGGCCTTACTCTGATCTAAGAAATCAGAGTATGCTGTTTATATGATCATTTGAATAGTCAGATAACTGCAGAAATCCGATTATAATTGGATTATTGAGTGCATGTAAACACACTCAATGTCTCAGACGAGTAGCATATCACTGTTGTTGAAAACCTTGTATCTCCATTTTTGATGTTTTTCAGTTTTTGACAGTCATAAAAAATACATATTGTCCTTTACATTGTGTGTAAATTTCATTATGAATGGACTAAAAGAAATGACCCAAAATGGCTTGGAAAATAGTCTGGTTCCATTGACTTACATTAAAAGTAAAATATGTTTTTTCCTTTTTCTGTAAAGTTACCGTTTTGAAGATACAAGGTTTTCTTCTGACAACAGCGATATTCTTAACCATTTCATGTAACAGCTTTCTGTGAGGGGGCATTTAGAGACATTAAACTCTTCAGACTTCTTATTGCTTTATGATAGCTTTGAGAAGGTTTTGGCGTTAATGGCATTTTTCATTTGTATTCATGAGAAGAGGTTCATGCAGAGTGTAAAAGGCAAAATAGTCCACAAAGAAAACTTGTTTTTATGAGTTTGCCACTGTTATAAACATTACATAGAAGACATCTGTGGTTATTTTGGATAGCAAATAAAATTACTGTATTTTCCACATCTCTACCTCTGGTTCCTATCACCACCACTGTAAAGAAATGTGAGTTGATAAGTTTCTCTACAGTGAACCATTTCAGAGCGCTCTGAATGACTGAAAATTTGGTGGAATTCTACTTGAAAGCCATCTGCTTTGTCTGGAAGGCAGTCATGAGAAGTGCTCTTGTGTTAGGTGGAGTAAATTCCCTGAGTGATGATATCATTTGTAATGGGGTACTTGCCCAGGCACACCCCACATTGCTGCTGTCACAGAAAATATCTCTCCTCAGTCTACATCTCATTCTGCATTTGTGAATGGATCGAAATGATAAGGTCAGGCTTCTTCTCTGGCAGTGTGTGCAGTTTGCGCTGGGCTGTTCTGCAGAACTCTGCAGCATCCTGCTTTTTTGTTGCGGTGTACAGAATTGTATTTTTATGTCTAGGTGTTTTCATGCGATTGCATCATGTTTCCCTCTCTGCGGTGACGTGCATGTGCTTGTGTTTGTGTGTATGTGTGCAACTCTGACTGTAAGCTAAACATCGCCATCTGTTAGGGTTACTCAGCTTGTTCTCACTAAAACCGTCAGCTAATTTAATGAAATAACCTCAGGCTTATTGCAGTTATGTGTCATGCTGCATTCTGTAATAGGGCCTAAACAGCTTCCAGTCTGTTTTGGATGTGTGTTTATACAGCATAAACAGCACTTCAGTTCTCTGAACAAAAGACTGAAGTTATTCTCAACACAGCTACTTCTTGCAGCTTCTCCTAAGACTACTGTGAGATGCTTAGTGAGTTTACATGTGTGGTGTTAGTATGTCCTCTTGCTTAGTGTAGTGAATGCCTCAGCAAGTGGAGTGGTAACTGGAGCAGAGTGACTTCTGCCATTCCAGGATGAAAAGCAGCTGAAGAATCCCCCAGATGAATGTGCTGCAAGTGCATGTCCCCTTTGGGGCGACTGCTGGCATTGCTGAGGATGAGCTGTTCATGCTTTCAGATGCTGAATTTCTAACCATGGAGACCGAGATTGTTCAGTAACTTTGAATAAACAGATATTTTGGGGTGCAGAAAAACCATGAAAGTGTATTATTATTATTATTATAATAATGTTTATTATATTCAAGATTTACATGTGTGTCCAAATATAACTAGACTAGTTTATACATTTTCTGTTGTAGTACAACTTTAAATTATATATATTTTTAAATATTTGGTTGTGCCACCTGACATTTTCTAGGTGGCAAAATAGATCATTCAGTTAAAAACATGCATTTATACCATTATAAAAGCCATCAGGACATTAGAATAGATGCTGGCAGATGGACATCATATCCTTTTTAATAAGAGAGCATAATTTTCAAAGCTATATTTGTCATTGACCCATATGTGATTAATTTAAATGGGTCCTCTTTTGTACCATAAATTAGTCACACTTAACTTGGTCCAGGAGACTCTTTTCCTTCCTCTGGCTATTATAACCCTCAATATCCACCAGCAAAACCACTCCATTAAAGCAGACTGTTTGTTGTGGAGTCTCTTATGAGGCTGGCCGAGACATTTCAGCCAACAGGCCAGTAAGCGTCTGAACTTTCGACTTGTCTGAAACAACAAGTCTCCCTTCAGCCCTGACAGTCTGTTTCCTGTCTTTAAGTGATTCATGTTATTCCTGTCGAGGTGGTGTAAAATTAGGCAGTCGGAACAGTAGAGGAAGAGGGTGTTTTTGAAGGGAAGCGGCTTATATCCTCACTGTAAGGGCTCCTGGGGATGGGGGCTGTGGTTGGCGCCTTGCTCTGTGTTGCTCTAGCCTACACCCATCACATAGCATTCGCTGCCTGCTAACGGCTGTGTGTGCCTCTGCCACCAACAGCACAGGATGTGACATCATAGCATAGAGCTCACAACAATGCCCAGCTTTCCGACAACTCTAATATCTAACTGTAGCTGCTTTGTGTCTAAGGGTGGGCGATGCAACATAGAACATCATAATACTTAAGGGCATTTTCAAGATGGCTGTTATGTATCCTGACTTTTTTATGAGGTTTAGTAATGATGGGCAAGAAAAATGCTTTGTTGGTCCATGTCCCTGATCATATTAAGCATGATTCATCATATCATATCCTTTAAAAGATAAAAACATCTTCCGATAACATCACTGTGCACCAGTGTCTGGGAAAAATAATATTAACAAATAATATCATATTTCATCTCCCCCTCCCACCACCCACACTTACGCTCAGCTAGCTCAGAGACCCTCCCTGATAGTGTATTTCACTCAAAAATAAGCAATGGAATAAGGAACAGGAAGGAAAAAAATCAAACAAAAGAAAATAAATAAATAAGTGAAATAAGATAATATTATAATAGACTGACATCCAATTAGCTGCTGATATGCAGTTTAAGAAGTCATTGTACAGCAGTGGATTGATGTTTTAGCAGCAAGATCTCATGCCCTGCTCATGCAGACCTACACAGTCCCTGAAGTACAGTTTAGTAATTAAGGTGTACAGTGATGACTCTTTGTTCTATAATGTCTGTGACACTTTTTGAAAATGTGTATAGTCACTTTGTCTGGAGAGAAGTTCAACTTTAAAAGAATGTGCATAAATCTTTGGAAATAAACTGCAACTGCAGCCTAACACATTAAATATTAAAAGGCCCCTATCCTACATTTTAATTTTTCTATTTGTGAGGTACCAAAACAGTCCTAATTCCATTTCACATGGCATTTCAAACCCCTCTTTATCCCTCAGAATTAGAAAGGCTGTTTTGTTACTGTGCCTTTACGACTGATATATGCAAATGAGCTCTGTTCTGACTGGCTGTTCTGTATTGTGCCTCATTCAAAAAGCATTCAGGGCTGAAACACTCTTTAGAACTCTTCAGAACTCAATATAACACTGTGAATGGGTGGGGCTGGGCTGCTGAAGCCTGACTGTTTGGAAATATGTAAATACACTGGTTTTTGTGGCATCACAAAAACAGTTCATTTTAACTGTGTTTGCAGCGTAGTTCCCATATATGGATGGTATGGAGTGGAGAGTGAAGGGTTTACAGAGTTTACATAACACACAGCATACGTTTTATTAACACTTTTATTTCCGATTAGTAAGGAAAGTTAGGTTTCCATGATATTTTATTTTTTCAATTAAGACATTTGTATGGTTTTACGTGCCAAAAGTATTGGAATTCATTTTTACATTGACATTTTATGACCTCCCATTATCCCTTAGAATTAAACAGGCTGTGTTTGTTACTGTGCCTTTAAGAGCCATAGGCAGATATACAAATGGGTTGGTTTTTGTGACATCACAAGAACAATGAACTGTTTTGGGGCTGTTTTGGAGCTTAGTTTCCATATATGGACTGGGAAATGAGTGATATGTTTTGAAAACAATGTTGACATACTGCTCTTTTATTTTTAGAAAAGCAAGGGAATTAGTTATTTTTTCATAATATGGGCCCTTTAAGAAACATTAACTATGTTCCATTCAGTAGTACAAAGTCTACAGAAGCCAGGGTTACAAGTGTAGTCAGAGTGCAGACAAAGTACTGGCAGCATAGTTTTTGGGGCACTCGCACCTCTGGGGTAGTTTGAATGACATCATCAGTGTTTTGTTTGTGTTCTACTGTAATGAAGCTCTTTCATAATAATGACATAATGGTTTCCCTGGAATGGTATCTCACCATGACTTACGCCAGTAAGTGCGTTTTTTTAAAGAACCATTTCCCAGTTCTTTTTCTGGCTTTGGCTATAGGTTGCAGTCTCAGCAGGCATACACTGTGATAATGTGGCCTAGTGATACCTTGTTGATGTCAGTTTTCAAATATTACTTTTACAGTAGGCTGATTTAGGGCTTCTGTGAATGTTGCACGGTTTTAGCTAGAATAATCCACCTTCACCTTTTGCCTGCGTTTAAAAGCATGCTTCACTGTGTTCGGTAGTTAACAGCACCCTCTCGGCCTCAGTTCCTGTCTGAGGCATCGGAAAATCTGCAGCCACCACTTCCCCTTTGAAAGTGTGCGTGTGTGCTTCCTGTTATTAAGCTGCTTACGCTGACATGCTAGTCAGTTTTAGAGTGATTGGTTGATTTGATCGTTTGATTCTGTGAAAAGTACGGAGGCTTCTAACGAGTCTGGAGCGGCGCCTCTTTGTATGCGGATGCTGATCAAAGTTGCTCTCTTATCACCTTGTGCAGTGGAATGAGGCTTTGACTGAAGGGGTCTTTTTGGTAGGTGCTATTAAGTGGATGGCAGTTTCACATCTTTTCTCTTTTCATTAGTTGCACCGACCATTCATCATGTTTTCTTGCTCTTTTGATGGTGTTCTGTGAGGAGTATGTTTTAATATGTATGGTTTTTGGTGTTGTGTGCAGGTCCTGGATCTGTTCTGGCTCTGCTGGATGTTTTAGCTACAGCTCTGATGGTGTTGCCTGACCTAGTAGGACACTGAGAGGGTCTTCTCCTTCCCCTCTCGCTCCTTACTTTCCTCCTTTCACCTAAACATGTCTGCCCTACAGGTGAGAACAGACATTTATAGGAATATTTCACCCAGAAAACATTGTGAATGAAAGGTAGTGAGAACCGGATAGTATGATCTACTTTGCAAGTCATTAGTGTCAATATTAGTGTATTAAGTAAAGCGGAATTGGTGCTTATAGCATTTGTTGTAGACGATGAACTTAAAGTAGTATGCAGTCGCGTGAGAGTTCAGACACTCTTGTGAAAGGCAGAAATATATTCCTGCACATCCTCTACAGAGAACTCATTTAAATACAGCATTTGTTCTGTTGTTTATTTGTTTATTTAGTTCAACTCAGCAGTATAAGTTTAAAATGTGCCGTAACTTTCACACAGGGCATGCACATTTTAACAGAACACATAATTCGGGCTCCCCAAACTTTTGCATACGACTGTATGTAGCAGTGTCCCACAAAATAGGGGCTCAGTGCCTCACTCAGTGGTTTGATTTACCTAGACTGGTTTTGGAATGTTTTATCATAAAATTGAGCTGCATGGTTTTGTCTCGATCTCTTTAGACCACCTGGCCGCCCGGCACAGAGTGTGTAGCCAGGTACAATTTTCCCGGCACGTCTGACCAGGACCTGCCCCTCTGTAAAGGAGATGTCCTGACCATTATAGGAGTCACTAAGGTAAGCAGCACAACTTCATTCAGATATCGCAGGCATATGAGGAAAGAATAGCACATGGTTATACTTTTTATGGACATTTCTCCACAATCTCTGACAGATCTATAGCTCATTTAAACTCTCATTCTAACTCATCTCTGTAGTGCTTTTAAACTGAATTCGTTTTGGGGTTTTGCCATTTCAGCCTATGTGATGACGCATATATGAAGGGTTTCATTTCAAAATGCATTAAACGTTCATGAATTTTCTTTTTTTAAATGATATACGACGTTGGGAGTGGGCTTTACACAACCAGGAAGTATCACTGCTATATTATGATTGATACCATCTTTATTAGAGAAGTGTTTTGACAAAGTGTGTTATATGGTACCTGTTATCTTTTTCAAACCTTCATATATCAAAAGCTTTTAGAAATGGATATATAGCATTTTGTAAGGACAATGTTTGTGTTCAAGTCAGTGATTCTCAGTCATGGTCCCAGAGTGCCATTGCTCTGCGTGTTGTTTTCTGCTGTGCTCTAACTCACACAGTTTGCCTCAGGAAGGGCTGGTTAAAGGGGAACTCCACAGATCTCTCAAAAGTTTTACATAACTCGATCATTCAGAGTGTTTCAGTGTGAGATGTTTCATAGTAGAGAAACATATGGACTTGGATTTCTTTACAGTGGTGGTCAAGGGGTCACAGTGTCTACAATGCAAAATCTAAAAGTTCCTTGTAGTACAGTTTTGCCCTACAACACCCTGCAAGTTCCTCTTTACCATGAATGGATAAGTGAATGAACAAGTTCTCATACTCAGACACCAGGTAGTGCATTTGTGACCATTTCGTATAATAACTTTTGGTGAAGGAGCTTTTAGAGCAGTTAAATGCTTCACACGTTTGGTTCTTTTCACAACCACTATGAGCAGTTTTGATTTAATAAGTCAGAATCTCCCTGCATGAGTTTGTATTCAATCCTAACAACTGACTTATTTAACCCCTTAAAATCCCAGGCTTATTATATACTAAGGCTTATTATTCAGTGACTACAGGGACTTCAGCTATTATTAGGTTATAAAAGTTTGTAATAAAACTTTGGGTCCGGCAGGGGGTTAAGGGGTTACAAAAAGTGTGAAATTGCCCTTAATTAGTTGGGTTCAGGTGTGTTAGGAGCAGGAAGAACTCCAAAAAGGTGCAGGGCAGTGAAACTCCAAGACCAGGATTGAGAACCAGTGCTCTAAGACACTTCTTGTTTTCAGGAAAACTGTGGTGCTTCTGCCCGTTTCAGAGTATAGTGCTGTTGTCCCTGAGCCAAGGGTCCTCAATCTTAGATCTGGTGACCTCATGCTCCGCACATTTTGTATTTTCCTTGCTCTACACACCTGAGGTTTAATTATATTTATTTTTGTTTGAATGACAGGACCCAAACTGGTACAAAGCCAAAAATACAGTGGGACGAGAGGGTACCATCCCAGCAAACTATGTTCAGAAACGAGAAGGGGTGAAGTCCTGTGCCAAGCTTAGTCTCATGCCGTAAGTACTGAGAATACTGCATGTTTGAGTGTGCATATGTTTGTCTTTCTGTTAGTGCTGTCAAACGTGATAACAACAATTTTTTTTGTTTGACCATATGACCATCATTGAACCATCCGTAGTAGCAGACTGAAGTAGCAGGCTGAGGCCCAGCTGCGGCATGCTGTGTGTTTCTGTGATAGAACTCATTCAGTTACCCCTTGTGTCTTTTAAAGTGATACCTTCAGAACTTTCAGCAGACTAGAACTATGGACAAATCAATGAGCAGCACACTAACAAAAGCAGCAACAAAGTTGAATGCTCCAGTTTCCCTCAAGAGCTTCCACTGTAATAAGAATTCACAAGCTGTATGAACGAGACAGAGAGCACAGAGTGTGCAGCCAGGTTCAGTTTTTCCTGCACAGCTGACCAGGACCTGCCCTTCTGTAAAGGAGATGTCCTGGCGGTTATAGGAGTTTAAGAGGCTATAAACACAGAGTTGGAACACTGACAGTTGGAACGATTTTACACTATGTTCACTCTATGGAAATCACATCATTTTCATGTTCAAGTTCATTTGGACTTTGTTCACACAATGAAAATAATGTTAGTGAATCATTGAAAGTTATAAATACATTCTGATGAAGCTTTCACATCCTTTCTTTAGGGTCAAATTGGAGCAAAAAAGTGATTTATGATGACTAACTACACAAAATAATGTGATAAGCAGCAAATATTTTTATCATTTGACAGCTAGTTTCTATTCTTGTAAATATTAGATGTGCTCACAAAAACCGTGAAATTCTAAGTGATATTTAAAATATGTATTATATTTAATATATTTAACATGATGTATTGCCTATAAAGAAACTAGTAAAGTCTTTTTTATGTGTTTGAGCAGATTTAGACTGGTTGGTTAGTGCTGGTTAGGTTTTAGTGTGAAGAAGAGCTGTAGAGTGAGAATAAACTACAGATCGTTACTCGTATAGGGGTACAGAAATGTAAGTGCGTGAGAGACTTGCTTTCGCATGTGACCAGGCTGTGGGTGAGCATGTTAAATATGGACAATCATGCAGACAAACATAGACACACCACATTTAGCATGTATGGGCTATATTTGGAACATATGCCCCTGATATCATCAGTGTTCACTCACTGTACCTGCGCTCGTGACACAAGTCTTCCTGCTGATGCGCCTAGCGCTCATGCCTGACGCCTCATTTGAATCGGCACTTAGTGCAGAGCTGGGTCAAACAGGAGGAGAAGGGAGGCAATGAAACAAATGACCCTGCTCAGCTGAATCAGGGAAATGGAAAAAAAGTCAGTCATTCTGCGTCTGATATGCAAAGCCGCTTGTGGATATCTCGGGTTGAGAGACCGTCTGAAAGAGGACACCTGTCATTCTTCAATTACTGCCTGCTTTACTATGAAACTGCCACAGATGTTCTTTTATCTGCTGCTGAATTTATCCCTCCGGTATTTGCTTAACAGGTTCTATTTACACCTGCAGTATAGTGCTGGCATATTGTGTTATCAGCAGCTCTGAAAAAACAGCTGCTTGTCCCTTTTGACATGAAATAATAAACTTTTTATCATAAAGGCTTTATACCTGGATATAAAAGTGCACCATGATGCACCGTGCATTATTTAAATGCATCTAAATGTTAGAATTCATTGTAATCAATTATAATAATATTTAATAATGTATGCACAGGCTATTTAAAAAAAACAGATTGGTATATTGTTTTTAGTATCTATGTATTATAAATTGTCCGTTAATGACAACCTGCAGTTTTATCAGTATCGTCACAAGTTTTGTAGATTTTGTGCTGAAAATAGCATCTTAAATAGCATCTAGCTGTGGCATCTCTGGGAATCCAATTCCAAACGTCATATCTGTTAGCAAAGCGCTGTTTACTAAACTAACTAAAACTATTGGAGTGTTATATTTCAATCTATAATAATATCAGATAATATCAGTTATCAACAGTTTCAGCCCTTCAAAATGGCTACTGGTATCAGACACACACATTTCATATTGCTCAGGTCCTAGTAGAAAGCAGTATGCATCTGTGGCTGTTGTGAAATACAGAGTGTGTGCTTTCATGCCAGAGAGGCCGCAGTAGAGTCTGACGCTGTGCTCGTTTTGGAACCTTGTAATTTAGCTTCTCTTGTCCCGGACTCTGACTTTGCCACGCATGAGTGTGTGTATCCGTGCAACTGTCCACGTCCATATGCTTCCCTGTTTTTTAAAAAATACATTAAACGCACCCATTTTAAGCTCTTAAAGCAGCATGTATAAACTGAATGAATTTGTCCTTCAGTGGCAAAGAAACTGCTTTAGCCAGCGTGGGTTGTTAATGTTCCTCAGGGCCTTCATGACCATGTCCTTCATGTACATGCCAACAGTGCATTCTTCTATACTGTATCTTCTGTGTTCATTATAGGGCTAAAAGAACATCTCAATGCAGCTCCATTCAGAATGGAAACCCTTTTCATTCTGAATATATCCTTCAGATTCCTGGCTGTCTGTAGAACTAAGCCAACATAGAAATGTGAACAATAATATTTAAAGAATTCTGGAGGCTGTAGTCTAAGCTGTGGCTGTGGTGAAATGCCTCACTTCCATAACTACAGTGTTGCAGGAGGAAGTGTTTTCCTTTAAGAGTGCATTACTACAGTACCATTCAAAAGTTTGGACACACATACTCATAGAAGAGTTAGAATAATATTCAAGACAACTAAGAAACAACACACATAGAATCACACAGTGACCAAGGAGGTGTTAAACAAATCAAACCAGTTGTGTTGTTTATTATATTATTTTTATCTTGATGCAGCTTTAGATGCTCAGCTTTGCACTCATTCTCTCAGGCAGCTTCATGAGGAGCCATCAGGCTTGAAGATGATCTACATGTGCTGAGATCTTTTTGGCTGCTGAAAACTGCTTTTTTGAAGGGAGCATTAAAAAATTGTAAAATATTTTGATTTGGAAATAAATGCATACATAGACATCTTCACTATTTTTATTTGCCTTTACAATTATGGAAACCACATCAGTTCGGCTATGTCCAAACATTTTATTGGTAATGAATATTTCATTCATTCATTTCTGCTGTTGTCAGAAGAAAACCTTGTATCTCCAGAATGATAACTTTACAGGAGAAGGAAAAAACGTACTTTACTTTTAATGTAAGTCATTGGAAGCAGACTTTTTTCCAAGTAATTTTGGGCTGTTTGTTTTGGTCTATTCATCATGAAATTTACACACAATATTAAGGGCAACAGGTGTTTTCAAATTCTATCAAAAACTGAAAAACGACAAAAATGGAGATACAAGGTTTTCTTCTGACAGCAGCGATATATATTCATTATACAGTAATATAAGGATGTAACGATTATTTGATCTTTTTAAAAAAATTACAATTCACATTCAATTAATCGGCTTTGAAAATAAATGTGCGAGCAGGTCTTTATTTGAAATTAGTTAACACCTTTAGAGGGCGGCAGTGAGTCTTTATAAACCTGTGTACTGTGTTATGCCATGTGATATATTTGCAGTGTGTTGAGACTGTATTGTGTCCTGCCTTCCTCAGATGGTTCCATGGGAAGATAACGCGAGACCAGGCGGAGAGGCTGCTGTACCCGCCTGAAAAGGGACTCTTCCTGGTGCGAGAGAGCACCAACTTCCCCGGAGATTACACACTCTGCGTCAGCTGCGACAACAAGGTGGAGCACTACCGCATCATCTACCACAACTGCAAACTCACCATCGACGAGGAGGAGTACTTTGAGAACCTCATGCAGCTCGTGGAGGTGAGTTTAATAATCAGCCTCTCATTATTAAGCAGAGACATCAGCCTGGAATTTTGGGTTTCTTTGGTCAGCTTTGAGTTTCTGTTGCCGTTAGGTCTACATTATATTTGTGTGGAAGCATCTTAATTTAATGTTTTTTCAAGCCAGCTTATATTTATTTGATGTTAGTTGATTACATCATTAGAGGGTAGCAGTAAGTAATGTGTGTTTATGTGGTGTTTATTAACAACATCTTTGGAGTGCAGCAGTCAGTAATGTTTGTTTATTTGTTGTTTGTTAACAACACCTTTAGAGGGCAGCAGTCAGTAATGTTTGTTTATTTGAGGTTTGTTCATAACACCTTTAGAGAGAAGCAGTCAGTAATGTTTGTTTATTTGAGGTTTGTTCATAACACCTTTTGAGAGAAGCAGTCAGTAATGTTTGTTTATTTGAGGTTTGTTCATAACACCTTTTGAGAGAAGCAGTCAGTAATGTTTGTTTATTTGAGGTTTGTTAATAACACCTTTAGAGGGAAACAGTCAGTAATGTTTGTTTATGTGATGTTCCGTAATAACACCTTTGGAGTGCAGCGGTCAGTAATGTTTGTTTATTTGAGCTCAAGCTCTGTCATCTGTCGGGAGCTGCTGGATCTCAACAGCTGGGAAGTAAGACAGTTAATCAGCCAGATTAACTGTACTTTCATAATTGCACACTATGAACAAAAAAGGCAAATAAATTGATATTTACAGTTATTTATATCGTAATTAATAGTCAGCTTAAATTTCATGACCATAAGAAGACTATTGGGTAATATTGTTTTCAGAATTGCTGAGTGGTCAACTTTCCTTGCTGTTTGTACTTTTAAGAATAAACCCCAATCCTGCTTGCAGAACTTTCTTTTCCTCCACCACCTCTTTTTTATTGACTGTCACATACAGGCCCAAAAATAGACAAAACAGGAAGCAGGTCCACGTCAGGCAGGCCCACAGAGATGGAGAAAGCGTCTGAGTCAGGCTCCAGGAAACACACACACACACTCTTGGCCAGGGGTCAAAGGTTCTCTTAACAGTAGTTTTTGCTGGAATGGCTTAACACACCCCTACAAAGTTGGTCAGTGAAATTAGCACACGTTTATGAGGGTGTATTTTACCCCATGGGTTTATTTTGGCTACATGTCACACTACGTGAGGTCAAGCTGGAATGTAGACCTGTAGTCTCCTTTAGATTACTCTGTTGACTCAAGCATTTAAAGTGCTTTATTGCAGTATTATAGTTATTAAGTAAAGTTGCTTATTCAAAGTGAAATAAAGCTCCTGTGTATGATGTGATCTCTCTGTATGGTGTGCTTTATTAGCTGTCAGACTTTGTGGTCCCTGGCAAAGCTGGAAAGCCAGTGGTGTATGTCAATTACCATGGCTATGCTCTGATAAAGCTTGGTGCTGAGAGTGGTCACTTGACCCTGTCCTTCCCTCCGCAGCTCTCACACTCCACCCCTCTCCTTTTCTCTAGGGCCAAGCCTGTTGCTTCATTCCGTAAATTCTTATGTGTAATTTTGGATTCTCTTTCTCACACACACTCACAAACACACACACACACACACATACTGGTTTGTTTTCATACAATGTCAGGACATGCATAGAAACCTATGTACGTACAACAATAATATGTCTCAAATATATATATATATATATATATATATATATATATATATATATATATATATATATGTCCAATAATGTCACTGACTTTTCCACAGTACTTTCAGTTCCTTTCAGTTAAAAAAAAACATGCACACTCTCACACTGTTTCTATCTCTTCATTCTCCCTCTCACAGACTCTCACTACTCTTAAATTGCTGCCTTTCTGTTGCTGTTTTTTCTAGTTTGCCATAAGTAGATGGCTTTTAAACTGTGGGCATAGTGAGTGACGGTTTTTGGTTTTGGATCAAATTATAGTGTCGGTTATCTCCTCCTAACTCTACTCAATAACACGCATTACCTGACACACTAGATGATCACCAAATGACACTACTGACCACGCTCACAGTGCGCACACTGTGCAGACCTTATCTCTGTCCCCTTCAGTGGACCTAAATGTGGCTTGTCTTCATGCTGTGCAAACTGTGAGTAGGGGTCCATCACAGGACATGGCATCCAGCTGTGCAGCTCAAAGTGTTTTTGTTTAAGCATTTCTAAATACAGTAGCGCAGGCCTGACAAGTGTGGGTGATTTGCCATAGAGGCGTAGTCTTCCCTCTTACCCCCAAGCCAAGACAGTATGCTTCTTTAGTTTCACACTAGAGCCTCAAGACTAGTGTAGCTAAAAGGTAATGAAAGCTTTATCCTGCACCAGTTAGCGCTATGCAAACTGCAGGCCTAAAACGTCATACACGTGCTTTGGATTGTGACAAGTTGTTAAGCAATCATAAATAGATCTGCTTGTGTGGTTTCTGACACTGTATGATGTACTGTTGTCTATAAAAAACAAATATTTTTGCATAGCTAACAGCATAGTAGCAGGCATCTTAAAGCCTGAGTTTTGTCCATACTTTTTGTCAGTTTTTTGGGCGATGCACCGATATGGGAATTGTGGGCCAATGCCGATATCCTATAGCCTTCATGTACATGTCTGCCAATGCCGATACATAAACATTAAAAAATTGCGACTATATCCACCTATATTAGCATACAGAGCAATATAATATGTGTTCCTGTAGGGTTACAAATGCAATAAAATATATAAAGTGTTGACATTTTTGTATAGTAGCCCAGCATCACCTAAACATTCTACTTGAAATATCTGGTAAATCTAGAGATCGATCCATTAGCAGTGTTTTTTTCCCCGTCATCTGCCAGTACTGATATGTTTACAGTATCATTTTACATCCCTGTCATCTACAAAATGGTGTGAATTTGAGTTTTGGCTGAAATATTCCTTCAACCTGTTAAATGATTTCTTCCAGGCTTATGTAATGGTAGTTTGTATTTTGTTTGCATGCCAGTGCATAATGCATATAACTATTACTGTCAGGGATCAAGTAATATGTGCATCTGTTTAAGTATATGTGTTTGTCTGGTGGGCTATCTGCTCTTGGTTTGTTGTGTGTGCTACTGTCTGTGTCTGGGTTCATGGTGTGCGAGTGAAGCGCTCTGTCTCACTTGCGTGGTTTGTTCTCACCTTTTTGACTGCACTACAGTTCCTGGAAAAGTTGATGAAAAGGAAGTGAGAAAGAGGAAGCTGCAGCACAGGTTCCAGCTCATTTAAGAGGCTGGATCGATACAGCTTTGTTGACTCCACCACCTTATCGTTCCTTCTGTCCTCCAAAGCTCTGGCAACTGACTGGGCTGCTTTTCACTTCTTCTTAGGCCATGAGGGTGTTCTGCATGTGTCGACATGTGTGTTTGCAGGATGTTGCACACAGTGCTGTAAGAGTCGCTCTCTGAGAGTCAGTTGCCCTCTGCCGATGACTGATAATCATCATTCTCAGTGTTAACTTGACAACACTTAAAATGACAATTCGGTCAGAATACAAATGTATTCCCCCCCTACCGCCTTACCCCCAGTGTAGTCTGTCAGCCAAGACATGTTTGGTGTATGAAATCTGCTTCTTTTGTTTTGCAAAAACAATGAGCTACCCACTTGACCAGGCCAGCCCTGGCACACTGAGCTCAGCCTTGGTGGGGCGGATGCCGCGCTATGGAAGGTCATGTGGGCAGGGAGTTTTCCAGTGGGGTACTGTCGGGATATCAAGATGTAGGGCAATATCAGAGCACAGGTTTCCATGTCCTTCTGTCACCCACACAAAGGACTAGGTTTTTCAGGTCTCCCAGTGACCAGCCACTCTGAGTGTCTTGTTCAGAGGCTAAGTCCTAAAGTTAGAGGTGATAGGAGCAACCAGCTCCCCCAAACCACTCTGCCTTGCTCTTTGGCAAGCTGTTTGCCTCAATCCAAAAGGTAATGCAAGCATTGGGTTTCCAGAGGGGTGGCATCAGGATATCAAGGTGTAGAGCACTGAGAGTACAGGCATCTGTGTCTTCTGGTCACCCACACAAAAGATGAAGTTTTTCAGTTCTCCCAGTGGCCAAAAAATCTTGTCCATGGGGAAAGTTTTCTTATTATGGAGCCCTCCAGAGAACCGGGAGACCCCATGCCTTATCCCTCGTTCGAGGGGTGCTTGCATTTACCTCATGTTGAGCTGTTAAGTAGATTTGTTTATGAGGTTTCTGACTATAAAAAGTGAACAAAGTAAGGGCCAAACTCAGGCTTCAAGATTCAAGACTGCTGCTACTGTTAATGCAGAGTACTTTTGTCTAAACGCTGCAGCTGGTTGTCTCCTTCCTCTTATATATAAAGTACATGAAAATATTATATGGAGATACACATTTATATTTAACTATATTCAACTATATGACTTGCTGATAATACCAGTTTGCACAGATCTGCATAAGATTGGCTGAATTTGTGTGTTTTTTGATTTGTGAAAATGCAGTATTGATATATTCTCTAATTCAATTACAATCATTTGCCCCTAGCACTACACCAAAGACGCAGATGGGCTGTGCACCAGACTTATGAAACCCAAACTCATGGAGGGGACAGTGGCAGCACAGGATGAGTTTTCACGAAGTAAGACTTTGTTCTCTTTTCCATTCATCTTTCTGTCTCTGCTCCAGGATTTGGAGCCACACACTTGCACAAAGTACTGCAAGTTCAATCCTTTTTCAATGCTGCAACATGACAAACAACTAAATACTCTGTTTAATACTTTCAAAACCTTCAGTTCTTTATTTTTTATAGGCTAGCACTGGATTTATGTTGTATTTTGCCAAAAGGGTTATTTGGAGCAATGACATAGAAAAACAAATTTTGCTAAACCAAAGCACTTTTAAATTAATGGTTCTTTAAAAAGTCATTTTGGAGCAGGAGTGAGTATGAAGAACCATTTTTTAAGTTTAAATAACATCCACATACAGTAAAGCTTCAAATACCAATTTTTTGGTTTTATTAGTATGATTTATTTCGACATATTAAAAAATGAGATGAAGAAAATAGAAACATATCAGATTAGTTAAGCTGTAAAAATGGAAATATTGTTCTTTGCTCAATCCAATAAATATTTGGTGTTCAGACAGTGATTAGTGTGTTTCATTTTTGCCATAATACCGTTTGGTAGCGAGACTTGTGATACTACATTTGGTATCGGTATCAAAGTCAAATTTCTGGTATTGTGCTGACTCTAGTTCCTGCTAGAGTACACTTTGAAAGGAGCCGTGTTGATGTGTAAAGATTCAGCATGGTGTTGTTCTTGTTCAGTGGGGTTTGATAGCTGTAGTAATGTTTCATACTTTAATGCTTCTGTGTTGTGCAGGTGGATGGGCATTGAACCGCAAAGAACTGAAACTTCTTCAGTCCATAGGGAAGGGGGAATTTGGGGGTAAGTTTCACAGCACTAAAGCGGAACAGAATGAAGAAATAAGTATTTACTTGTAATGTTTGTGGTACTTCATTTCATTTCATTTCGTCTGTATGCCTTTGATTTTCTTTATTCAAATTATTAAATTACTGGCAAAAAAACCAACTAAGTGGCTAATTGTTCATGGCTAATTATAGGGATGACAATTAAAAGTTAGCCATGTGGCTAAAAATGGAACATTTACATTTGAGCTAAGCCCTTAAATGGCCAAGACCTGACTAAACTTCTATTGTACATTTCTACAACTTCTTAAAGTCTGAGACATTTATTACATTATTTTTCAGTAATTACATGAAAAACAATGCAAACTGAGTTATTCTAAAGTTATTTTAGCACAGTAGCCTAGCTTTGCCTATGTTCTGCTCTTCCAGAAAACAATGAATATGGCATCATATATCAGTTTGAAATATCAGCCAAATCTTTTTTTTTTTTGTCTGTCGATACTGATATGAGTCCAATATCATCGTGCACGCCTAATAACAAGCCTGGAAATGTAAGGGGTTCATTAATTTGAATTGTTCCTAGTAATCCTTTTTTTCAGTGTTGTTTTTTAAAAGATCTTTTTGATTTCTTTTAAAATAAGGAAAAAATTGGTGTCCCACAATTTTATTTTACTACAGAAATACAGAGTTTCAGTCCATAGATGAGCTGTATTTTAACCACACCCATGCATTTTAGTGCAGGATGTGACACTGCATCCTTGTCCCTCAGGCCATTTTTTTGAAGTAAATGTGTAGTAAAAGTCTGAAAATTAGCGTGTAACATTAGTTGTAACTGTCAAAAATATTTTCTGCAATTAAGTAAACTGTTGTTCTTTAAACGTTGGTGTTTTAATGGAAACTTTGTGTGATTTTGTGTGTGTACAACTGCTCAAACCTGTGTTTGCAAGTCATGTACTGGCTAGCGTTTTTGAGTTCTAGCTAAAATTGTCCCTACCGAAACAGTCACTCCTGAAACATTTGGTTTCGGAGGCATTAGTATTATATAACTAGTAATTCAGTCATTTGTTTAATAAAATCACCATAATTAAGGTATAATTAAGGTCATTCAGAGCAAAAGGATTTTAGTCTATTGTCAAAATTAGTTAAAAAGTCCAAAAAGTGTTTGACGTTGAATCAGTTTTGTAGGATGATCCATCAAGCTGGTGTTTCTCAATTCCAGTCGTAGAAATCTAGTTTAATGCTGTTGCTGTTTTAACAAACCTGTTTCACCTCATAAACACCTATAAACCTGATTAAAACACTGGGCTGCAGCAGTCCTTAAAAATGAGATGTGAGAAACACTTTATGCCCCTATTCTTTGTATAAATGTGTTTCTCTTGCTTGTTTTTTTTTCAGACGTGATGGTTGGCGATTACAGAGGCACTAAAGTAGCTGTGAAGTGCATCAAACATGATGCCACCGCACAGGCCTTCGTTGCTGAGGCCTCCGTCATGACGTAAGCTATTTATCTCCTTCATGGTCTGCTTATGAAACCTTCTGAAACCTGCAGCATTTCCATGTAGCTTTCTGAAGTCAGCTTGCAGCTTTGATCACATGTGTCTGTACTGATGTGTGAACTGCAGTGTGGGAGTCATTTTCAGTGGAATTTACAAAGTATCCTTTGTGTATCCAGGCAAATGCGGCACAACAACCTCGTACAACTTTTAGGAGTGATCGTGGAGGAGAAGGGCAGCCTGTTCATCGTCACGGAGTACATGGCCAAGGTCAGTGACCCAAACACTGCTTAACACTTAGAGGTCTACAGTTATTACTGTCTGTTATATAATTATTTAAATGGAAATACATACTTACACAATTAATTACCTAGTTGGTTAAATAATGTACATTGGTTGGTTAAATAATGTCAGAAACATAAACATGGCAAAAATATATAGGGTTTGCATACTCAGCAATAAATTGATCAAACTCAAATCTCCTCAAATGTGGTATGGATTTAATGTTTACAGTCTCCACTTGAAAATGACAGCTAATGATTTTTACACGTTTTTTTTCAATATTTGGGATGCTTAATGGTGCAAAATGTGGTGAAACAGTGGACAAAGTGGATGCATTTATTTACTGGGGTCAAACATGACATTATTGGTTAATATATATTATCCCTGCCCATTGGTGAACAGTACACTTTAGAGGTGGGTGAAAGTCAATTTTGAAGGAATTTTGTATTTTAAATGACACAGTATGACTGATAAATTTTGCTTAAAGGGCCAAAGTTTGATGTAGTATGTAAATATTGTTAAAGTTTCAAAATGTACCTTTCACTTCTGAGTCCATACATCTATATATGGAAACTAAAGTGCAAAAACAGCCTGTTTTCAGTTTGTTTTTATGACGTCTCACTAATTTACATACCATACCAGTTTAGCTCCACCCATTTGTATTAAAGTTATTAGAAGTGTCAGCCTAAACTGCGCTTTGAATGAGGCACAACACTGGGAATCAGAACAGAGCTTATTTGCATATATCAGTTTTAAAGGCACAGTAACAAAACCAGCCTGTTTAACTCTAAAGGATAAAGAGAGGTTGGAAAATGTTCATGTAAAACTAAATTATGACTGTTCACATGTGTACATAAAAGGGGACCTCAGGGAGAAAAATAATACACAAGAAAATCTAGATGGTGGCTAGATGGTAGAAGAGCCACCAACTGGAAGGTGCGGGGTTCAAATCCCAGGATTGGGACTGGGCATACCTGGTTGTGCCCATGGTAAAGGAGCTTAGCCTCTGTTGGCATTCCTGTTCTTCTCTGTAATTGGGCATTGTTAGGCAACCAAACATAAGTTTCCCCTGTAGGATCAATGTAGGCCCTTTAACATGACTAGGGACGTGAAGTAAGAAAGTAAAAAGTTTGAAAATAAGTAAAGAAGTTCTGTTTGTATGAATGTGAGTGATTTAGATTGCACCCTGTCTAATGAGTTCTGGGCTTGTTTCTACAGGGCAGTCTGGTGGACTACTTGCGTTCCAGGGGGCGCACTGTTATTGGGGGAGACTGTCTACTCAAGTTCTCCATGTGAGTTTTACAATTGTTTAATTACTTTAGCTTTTTTACTATATTAACCCCTTGAACCCTTTGCTTATTATTCAGTTGTTCATGTTAAGACTCATGTTACTCCCCAGTAGCTACTATGAATTACTCAGTAACTAATAAAAGTAATGTGTTGGTTAGAATTATGGGCAAACAGACTCTCTCTCTCTCACACACACTCTCTCTCTCTCTCTCTCTCTCTCTAGGGATGTATGTGAAGCCATGGAGTATCTGGAGGCCAATAACTTTGTGCACAGAGATCTGGCCGCTCGTAATGTTCTAGTGTCTGAGGACAACATTGCCAAAGTCAGTGATTTTGGTTTGACCAAGGAGGCATCGTCCACTCAGGACACAGCCAAGCTCCCTGTGAAATGGACAGCTCCTGAAGCCCTGAGAGAAAAGGTAAAGGGAGTGAGTGTATGTGCGCTTGCCTGTGTTTACACGTTATAGTGTGCATGTCTGTTATTGCTCAGACAGATACAGATTTCCTACAGAAACATGCAATAGTAAGACCAAGGCTGAATCCTACTGTTCCTGTTTGTGTCCGAACAGAAGTTTTCCACTAAGTCTGATGTATGGAGCTACGGCATCTTGCTGTGGGAGATCTACTCCTTCGGCCGTGTGCCATATCCAAGAATCGTGAGTTTTGTCTACAGTTCCACTTTTTAAAGAAGTTCTTCACTTTATTGTAAATTTGTGTTCTTTAGGGTCACAGGCTGCTTTTAAATATTGTAGTATACAAGCACCAGCTGTTGTGTGAAATATTACATTTCATGTTATAACTTTCTGTGAGGGAGCTCTTAGAGGCATTAAACTCTTCAGACATCTGGTTCCTATCATCACTCCTGTGAACAATTCTGATTCAGGAAGTTTCTCTAAGTTTCTCACATTAAAACACACTGAATGATTTTGTTTACATCTTAACAATTTAATAATGTATACATTTTTAAATATTTCTGGAATTCTCCTTTAACTTGTGGTTGTGGTTAGTATGTTAGCTTGGGGTTAACATATTGGCTTGTGGTCAGTGCGTTAGATCAGGACTCTAAAACACAGCTTTTGTTTTAAATATTGTACTTTTATAATGTTAAATGCCCTCAGAAACTGAAAAATTCATATTCACACAAGCCACAGTTCAGCCACTCTGTTTTATTGCTGTATCAAATCGAGACACTACTGCATCATAAGAAACTGAATAATGCATTTTGTGAATCGTTACAATCCTACACTCTTAAAAAAGATGGTTCTTCAAGGTTTCTTTAGTAAGAAAAATTGTTCTATATAGAACCATGAACTCTCAGGGAACACTTTGATTTAAGGGTCATTTACATCATGAAAGAGAAAATGGTTCTATATAGCACCCAAAAGGGTTCTTCTGTTGTTATGATGTCAAGCTCTCACAATAGAAAAACCCATTTGGGTGCTATATAGAACACTTTTCAAAAAGGTTCTATATATAGAACTGTCCATACCACATTCATGCACATTTTCCGTCAGTCTGAAGAACGCTTCTGTGATGTAAAGAACTCTGAAATAATGCAAAGTGTTCTTTGAGTGTTCATGGTTCTATATAGAACCATTTTCCTTCCTAAAGAACTCTTGAAACCATCTTGAACCATCTTTTTAAAGAGTGTAGTCAATTTGAATACAACCAAATGGTATTTTACTTTTTTCACTAGTTCAAGCATTTTGTGAACAGCATTTATATTTAAATGATAAATAATTTACTGTAATTATTTATTTGCACTATTTTTTGCCAAGTCGCCAGCAGTTCTGAAAAGGAAAGTCATATACATTTTATCAGTTGTGGATAATAATTTACAATATTGATTGTATTTTAATTGAATTGTTGCTGCTGTACAGCTTTCTCGTCATTTTAGAATCTACAGTTCAGAGTTCTGGACATCAAAACATTTCTTCTTACAACTCACTACTAATTATTTGAAACCTGTTAAGTTGCACGGAACTAACATGTTGGATACATTAATCATGTTATGATGTCATCACATTGATTCCAAACTTATGGTTTACAGTGTACTGCATTAAGTTCTCTCTCTGGCTATTGCCTGCGCTAGTCCTACACACAAGTCACCAGCAGAGGGCAGCATTGTCTACTGATTTGACCTGTTTGTTCTGCTGAGTTTCATCAAACATGATGCAAACTAACACCATCCTTCTCCCTCTCCTGTCCCCTCTCAGCCTCTGAAGGATGTGGTTCCGCGAGTGGAGAAGGGCTACAAGATGGACGCCCCAGACGGCTGCCCACCCGTCGTCTACGACATCATGAAGCAGTGCTGGACCCTGGATGTGGCTGTGCGGCCCAGCTTCAAAGAGCTGAGAGAGAGCCTGCAGAACATCTGGACCAATGAGCTCTACCTGTGAGAGCAGACACGCAGATGGACACAAAAACGCAATGAGAGAGAGAGAGAGAGAGAGAGAGAGTGGAGGAGGACGACAGCAGCTCCTCACTGGGACCATATACACATCCTCAGACCAGCACTCTGACTTCACACAGAAGACTTTAGACAAAAAAGACATGCACAGAACTTTTAATTATGGCCAAATTCTGTTATTGATCACCACTTTGTTTTTGTTTAGTTTCTTTCACTGTGCCTTCATGATTTATTTTACAGAATCGGGGAGGCTGGGCTTCTCTAGAGTATTCCAATGTTTTTGATTTAAACATCAGCAGCCTTGTAAAAACCCTTCATGTCCTCACCTTTCAATGTCCCCCAGTCCTGAGGGTTATTGTCATAAAGCAAGACTGCTCAGTTAGCCATGTAAGTAAAACCTTTCCAACAAGGGGAAAAGTATGGGACGTTCCTATTGGACAGTCTTCACTTTGGCTGAGGCAAGAAACTTACCTCACGCAAGTATGTGAACCCAAACGCAATTACACTGTTACATAATGAAAGACATGGTTAGTGATGTAACGAATTATATTTACATCTGATTTACAGTCTCTATTGACAGATGTAAGTCTGCACTTTACACTGTCAAGAAAAAACAAAAACATGGCCGAAATGTGCCGAAAAAGCTTTCTTCTTTTTCTTTCCACAATATGAAAATCATATTTTACTTCAAATTCAAATTATAATAATATATCTCCTCTTTCACTTGCGGAAGTGTGTTAGCGATTAAAAGTTTAGAATCTGCTCTTTTGACAGAGTTTCCTCTGCTTGTTTTGATGAGCTACGAGTGAGAAATTATATCAGATTACAACATGCTTTTGTAATTGCCAGCAATAGCTGCAAGTGAGGGTTGTCCAATAGGATTTGCAGAATAAAGCTTCCCCTGAGTCTCAGGTACAAGCATGTCATTTAATAAAAAAGAAAGGCTGGACAAAAGCTGACCAACTTAAATACCCTTAGGTTCATGTATTTATCAGATACCACATGCACAGTCAGAGACCATCCTTTATTTATGTGCTTTCCAGTCAAAATGACAATTAAGTACAAGCATCAGGAAAAATTACACAGAAACCTCGATGACTAAATATAATGTACAATTACCAGTATTTGATGTGTCCACCCTTTACCTCTATTACAGCTACTATTCTTTTCAGGACTCTTGCTTTCAGTTTTTCAAAGAAATCCGAGGGAATATTTCTCCACGCCTCCACAGTTCAGTCTTAAAAGTTGGTTTCTTACAATCCAAGTAATCCCAAACACATTCAGTGATGTTGAGGGCTGGACTCTGGTGTGTCAGTCCATTGTACTAAGAACACCGGAAGCTTCTTTGTTTGATTTACAAATGTTCTTTTTTTGTATTTCCTTTTCTCAGTAATGGCTTCTTGGCAGCTACACATCCTTTCAGACTCATAGTGTTGAGAGACATAGAGTTGTCTTCTCACAGTGGAAGGATGGACAGAGGTTGGATTTTTTTCTGATTTGAAGCAGCATGATTTTCTCCTCTCTCTCAAAGATGAAAGCTTAAAGTGCTTTTTATCTGATGGGGACAGTTTCAGTGGTCTACCAGGTCTTGCACAGTTGTTAGGGGTCCCGTTTTCTCTAAATCTTTTAATAATTTATTGAACTCGTTTTAGAAATCCTGTTTCTTGCTTATTTTTCTTCAACTTACCCCAAGTGGATTATCTAATATCTAATGTCCTCAGAAAAATAAATAAAAAAAAAATTCTGTTTTGACTGGAAATTAAATAAAGGATCGGTGTTCATTTTCACAGTACTGTAGTGCGCTGGAGGAAAGGTAAAGGGTGCTCCTATTGGACAAACTTGAGAGAAGGGTTGCTTTTTGAAATACCCCCAGGACTGCAGAGCAGGCTTCCCCCCCCAAACCCCAGGAAAAGACGTACTTTTCTTAGGGTATGAAGCTCCGTGACAGTGCCGGATAAAACAGGCTTGTTTTTTTCTCTCCCAGTGCCAGCTCATGTTCAAACTGCTGTTTGCACTCACTGACCTCAGTGTGATACTTACACAGCAATTCCTCTGTCTATTCACATGACCACATGCATCATTACAGTCCAGTTGTGTGCGTGTCTGCCTGCATGCGTGTCTCTGTGTACTCCTGCTCTGCGGACGTTTGTGTGATGAGTCTTTCCTCTGTGCTGTAGTGCCTCCAGAGCACTGGACTGTACTCTGCCCCTGAGCTGTTGATGTTGTTATTATTTAGTTTTTATATATTGTTTACCTCTTGATTTTTTTTACATTTCTTTTACATGACTTGACTGAAAAGAAATTGGCAGTGGCAGTCTGATCCTTAACCCTAAAGACTGAACTTGGACTTGGAGCATGTTTGCATTCACACAGGGAAAAGACAGACCTATTAGTTACATCTTTTTGATCCAAAAATACATATTGAAAGAATTTTGTAATGAGAAATGTGAGGAGGTGACGAAGAAAGAAAATATAAGAGGTTAAAATATGGACCATGCAGCTTTTGTTTCTTTTTGTTTAAAAATTACACTATACATTACCCTTTGAAAAGACTCAACTCCACAACGACCATAATGACATCTAAAGCTAAAATAATTTCAGTTAGAATGTAAAGTGGTGGCTAAAAGGTTAAACTCATGGGTGGAACCGAAGCGGTACTCCAGTATCTTGTTGGTTTTTCATTCACACAGGGCAAAAAAGAAAGAACTCTCCTTCTTCAAATGGAAATTGGTAATGCATCATATCTAACTGATATCAGAGCCAAGTAATCCAGGCAATTCAGTGGCTTGGGTTCAGATAAAATGGGACAGTGTGTTAGGTAATATGTATAACCTGAACGCCAAAGCCATTATTTTATCCTATTAATTTAGCAAACATTGGGGTGGATGATATGGAATAAATGTAATATCATGATATTTGAAGACACGTTCACGATGCAAGATATATCACAATGTTATTTTTTTCTGAGGGAGCAGACAAAAATCCCCAGTAGTGATACAATTAAAACAAAAAATCGAAAACTGAGTACAATGATTTCTATTTAATGTTTCACATATGGCGCTGCACTAAGCCCAGTTAAACAGGCCTAATTATGCCTTATTTATAATAACATGCAGTTGGTGATTTTTACCTTAGTACTGATGTAATGAATTACGATACAATAAAAGATCGTCATGTTGCCCACTCCTAAGCAAAACTTTTCTTTTGCTGATTTAGAATCAGCTAATATTTAAATAAGAGTTTTCTTTTAATAGTGGCCCAAAATACATGAATCCGGTCTATACAGCCCAATACAACATTTGTATTTCATGCACCCGCTGCTGAGGAATCAGCCCCTATTTATCATGTATTCTAGCAGGTCACAGCAACAAAGCGTTTGTTCAAAAGCTGGGAATACAAACATAAATGGATACTAATTTCCATTTGGAAACTGGGCGATATTGCAGCCATACTAAATCACAAAATTTCAAAACATTTTCACAATACGTGATATGTACCTTGATACTTCGTTTTTTTCTGAGATGAAACAGATAAAATAGAACCTCTAGTGCCTCATACTATAAATAGCCTACTACTAAAAATACTATAATGAACATTTTTTGTACAGCCTACAAAACTACAATCATTTTTTATTCAGTGTTTCAAAAACTGCACCACACGTATCCAATTAAACAGGCCTAGAAGTACTGACAATATCCACAATATGCTCAGAAAAGCATATTGACACATAACTTATCATGATAATGATGAAAATATCATCATATTGCCCACCCCTATTTGCAAGCAAAAGCATGAATGCAGTCGAATCCTCTTTAATATCCACCACTCACTACTTTGGATGGTTGCACAGGTAAGGTTTCTTCAGAATGGAAGCTGTTGGGATCTCTATTCAATTCCATATTTTCCTGTCACCCAAGGTTCTTGAGGAACTTGAGGCAAGACTATTCAGTATTTGACGATTTTCCCGAATGGCAGTGGCTCCACAGTCACCCTTGGAGTTTACTTAAAAATGATACTTGCTAACAGTATTTTTAGGGGCATTTTTAGGGGACATTGTCATTTGCTGACATGAGAGCTGTACCAATCATAATTGGGCGTTTAAAGTGATAGTTCAACAAAAAATCAATACTTACAATATTTGAACAATTTTCTCATTACCTCAAATGTAGTCACTCAGCCAAGACAAAGTCTGCTTTACTTTTGCACAGGAGCTATGAGGCTAAATTAGCTAACAAGTAATGAAAGCTTACACTTCAGTCATTAGCATTGTGCCAACCACATGCTAAACCATCACACACTTCACTCAAACTGCATAGATAAACCACAAATGGACACATTTCTGGCAGTGTATGAAATAGTTATCTAAAACGAAAAGTTAGTCATAGCTAAAAACAGTTGCATCTGCCATATTTAAAGGCTGTAGACTGTATTTACTTCCATTTTTATGACTGGCTCAAAAGGAAAATCTTTTGCTAAACTACCGCTTTAAGTCAGGTTCATCCTTTTGACGGATGCCACTTTAAGGGCTTTGTAAAGTGTTGGGCTTCTTTCCACAGAGCGAGGTTAGATATGTGATGTAATTCAAGCAGAAGTGAAAGGAAATGCCGTGGCCATCCAGTGTTCCCCGTCTCAAACTGTCTGTACCTGCCAGAGCTCATTGCAGACCTGGCCTTCAGACTGCGGTGGGCTGCATCTCTGAGCTCTGCTTTGTACAGAATGGCACACATGTAGTCAGCATGGCTTTTCAGCAGCAAGATCTCAAGCAGAAGAGAAGTGATGACAGTGCAGTCAGCCTGGAACATAAACCTTTATACCTGTGCATTTTGCTGAATCCATAGTGTAGTCGTGTGATGCTACGGCTAAAGCCACACATGCTGGCTCAGAGAAATATAAGCACCGCCGAACGTTTTTACACCAAAGAAAAACACATGTTCTTGTTTACTATACAGAAATATGAGATGGAGATCATTTTGGTGCAACAGAAGGGAACCAATGATCAGACTCACAAATGGAGTTTTTAGGGGCAGCAAGAATTACATTCTTCACTGGCCAGAGCTACAGTTACAGTTTATTGTAATAATAAGTGAAATTGTTCTGTTTAGGCTAACAGAATAGTGTGATTGTGGGGTGAATTGCATAGTATTGCAGTTGAAGAGATGCCTACTACACAAGGTAGGTCAAGCACAATAGTTTGCTGCACTGACCGTCTACAATGTCTGACAAGTCAGACTCCACAACACCATTGTCATTAGGATCAGTATGGTGTGTGTTTGAATAAAATTTTCCTCAATATCACATTCACAACTCTTAGGCTGATAAGTTCTGAGTTCTGAGCAACTTACTACCACCGATGTTCTCACTGCGGGTTTGGTTCCGAGGAGTTTTGCTGTGGTTTGTCCTTGGCTTTAAGAAAACAAGCAGTGATTGGCTGAGAAGCCTGTAAATCGGTATTGTGCAATCGTCAATTCATGTGAAGCAAAAGCACAGCGGAATATCTTTAAAAGCGGCATAAGTAGTCTAATGTATTTGTATAAACAAGCTGAGGAAAACACATAATGAAATGAAGAGTCTTATTCCAAAATGCTGTATATTCATTTGTAACGATTTTGGATATAACACATTTTTGGAAATAATAGA